GAGGTGCCCAATTTTCCACTTCGTAGGGTAGACATATTGGTGGAACCCTTTTAGTTTAAACAGACCGAGGTGGCCTTCCACAACAGGAGGGGCTGTTGAAGGCTTGTGGGAGAAGCTGTTGATGACGCCGCACGTGCAAGCCACTGGCGGTGGATAAACAGGAAACAGCTGATAGCAGGAATTAGCGAGTAGCTAGTAGCAAGAGGGAAACACAAACCTGACAGACACTGTAAAGATGAGCAACTGGGGAGACAAGGAATTGTGCGCCCTCCTTGTCCTCGCAAATGAAGAGGCCATTAACCGTCAGGCCGACTTATGAGAGAATCGCTGAAGGACTGACCAGCCGCGGCTTCCCTCCCACGTCACTGTTTACGTCACACGCTGAGCTACACGTTTTGTTACTTGCTCACGCCCCCCATTGCCCCGAAAAAGACACATTCTGTATAAACAAAGTAGGTAGACGGAATTTTGCTGCACTCCCCGATTTTGTTTTTATACTGCCAATGCTGAAAAAAGACTGATTGGGCTTTCCTGCAAATTTGCACAACTCCTGTTTAAAAAGGGCTATAGAGACAGACAACCATTCACACTCACTTTCACACCTACAGACAATTTAGAGTTACCAAGTGTCCCACCCTCGGACGCAGACTGGCCAATCATAACATAGCATGAGGCCAGCTCAGGCCAGAGTCCGACAACAACACAGCTGTGCTCCATTGACTATAATGCAGTCGTTTCAGATTTCCTTCATTTTCAGGCGGGTTTTGTGGATTTGGAGCTAAATGTTGTGCCTGGGGCACGTCATGTATTAATGATACTCATTACCTGGAGGGGTTGGAAAAAGATATACATTTTCTCCCTGATCCAAAACCAAAATCAAATCCTGAAAAGTGTAGGGTTAGCTAGAGAGCTAGTAGAGATATAGCCTACTGAATGTATAAACATGCTGCTTTTGCTATTTAATGATTATAAAAGTGAAAAAAAGGCTGACCCCGCTGTACAGGAGCCAGTGAAGGGAAACAGGGACATGTTGCTGATATTGAACCAGCTGTGTGTCATCACAGTGTGTGCAGATGAACATTGTTTGACTTCTTCTGCAGCCCCCCGACAGTCCAGCTGCCAGTCTGGATGCTGGGAGCGGCACGGGGGTGAAGCTAAACACTGTTCATCTGCACACACATAATGCCACACAGCTGGTTCAATATCAGCAAAGTGTCTCTTTATATTCACTGTCTTCTGTGGCGATCAGCAGTGATGTGGTGGTTCACTATTACTCTTTGATCTGTAGGCTTTAGCTTCAATCGTTATTTTGTAACCTTGATTTCATTGTTGTGTCAGTCTGAAATCCTGAAAATATCCTTCAAATGCATATTGTAGACCCTTCTTTCTGAAATCACTTTTTTGTTTTTCCAAAGATTTGAGAGTATTTCTCCAGGGAGTGCAGTTAGCGACAGTGGGAGCGCTATGCCAGTCTAGCTCTGAAACCAAAAGTTTGTAGGACTTACCAACAGTAACTACGGGGGGTGGACCTTAGAGAAGGGTGAATTAACCTGCATGTCTTTGGACTGTGGGAGGAAGCTGGAGTACCTGGAGGAAACCCACGCTGACACAGGGAGAACATGTCAGAGCACCTGGAGGAAACCCACGCTGACACAGGGAGAACATGTCAGAGCACCTGGAGGAAACCCACACTGACACAGGGAGAACATGTAAGAGCATCAGGAGGAAACACACGCTGACACAGGGAGAACATGTCAGAGCACCTGGAGGAAACCCACGCTGACACAGGGAGAACATGTCAGAGCACCTGGAGGAAACCCACGCTGACACAGGGAGAACATGTCAGAGCACCTGGAGGAAACCCACGCTGACACAGGGAGAACATGTCAGAGCACCTGGAGGAAACCCACGCTGACACAGGGAGAACATGTCAGAGCACCTGGAGGAAACCCACGCTGACACAGGGAGAACATGTCAGAGCACCTGGAGGAAACCCACGCTGACACAGGGAGAACATGTCAGAGCACCTGGAGGAAACCCACGCTGACACAGGGAGAACATGTCAGAGCACCTGGAGGAAACCCACGCTGACACAGGGAGAACATGTCAGAGCACCTGGAGGAAACCCACGCTGACACAGGGAGAACATGTCAGAGCACCTGGAGGAAACCCACGCTGACACAGGGAGAACATGTCAGAGCACCTGGAGGAAACCCACGCTGACACAGGGAGAACATGTCAGAGCACCTGGAGGAAACCCACGCTGACACAGGGAGAACATGTCAGAGCACCTGGAGGAAACCCACGCTGACACAGGGAGAACATGTCAGAGCACCTGGAGGAAACCCACGCTGACACAGGGAGAACATGTCAGAGCACCTGGAGGAAACCCACGCTGACACAGGGAGAACATGTCAGAGCACCTGGAGGAAACCCACGCTGACACAGGGAGAACATGTCAGAGCACCTGGAGGAAACCCACGCTGACACAGGGAGAACATGTCAGAGCACCTGGAGGAAACCCACGCTGACACAGGGAGAACATGTCAGAGCACCTGGAGGAAACCCACGCTGACACAGGGAGAACATGTCAGAGCACCTGGAGGAAACCCACGCTGACACAGGGAGAACATGTCAGAGCACCTGGAGGAAACCCACGCTGACACAGGGAGAACATGTCAGAGCACCTGGAGGAAACCCACGCTGACACAGGGAGAACATGTCAGAGCACCTGGAGGAAACCCACACTGACACAGGGAGAACATGTCAGAGCACCTGGAGGAAACCCACACTGACACAGGGAGAACATGTCAGAGCACCTGGAGGAAACCCACGCTGACACAGGGAGAACATGTCAGAGCACCTGGAAGAAACCCACGCTGACACAGGGAGAACATGTCAGAGCACCTGGAAGAAACCCACACTGACGGGGGAAACGTGGGAGCACCTGGAGGAAACCCATGCTAACACGGGAAGAACATGTCAGAGCACCTGGAGGAAACCCACACTGACACAGGGAGAACATGTCAGAGCACCTGGAGGAAACCCACGCTGACACGGGAAGAACATGTCAGAGCACCTGGAGGAAACCCACACTGACACAGGGAGAACATGTCGGAGCACCTGGAGGAAACCCACGCTGACACGGGAAGAACATGTCAGAGCACCTGGAGGAAACCCACACTGACACAGGGAGAACATGTCGAAGCACCTGGAGGAAACCCATGCTGACATGGGGAGAACATGTAAACTCCACACAGAAGGGCTCCCTCCTAGGATCAAACGAAGACTGGGCGGCCCCTCCCTAAACGCAGAACACGCGCACCCTCATCTTTCATGGGGGTCACATTCTGCACGAGGGGACGCATTTGCACATATGCGCAATGGTTGCACATATGCACTATCGTGAGGCTTGCATAGAATCAGTTCGAGGAAGGAGAGAAGAGACCTGCAATCTGACCGCGTATGCGTCGCTGCAATGATTGACAACACTCGGCATCTGACCAATCAGAGGGGTTCGTCGGCAGGCACTTGCAGAGCTGCAGCAGGTGAAGAGTTGTCGACATGGCATCCAAAAGACATCACGAGTCTGGAGCGAGCAAGAGGGAAAAAAAAGGTAAAACAAGAGGAAGCTTGTGCTTCACTTCAAGGTGGGTATGTTATTGAAATAAAACTTTGTGGCACAAACACCTAAGTTGCTACTCATTAGATAGGAATCTGTCTCCAGTCTCTGTCTAGACTGGCAATTTTTTTTTTTCCAGCGGCCCTGATTAATATTTATTGAATGTCTTGTTAACGCCCTATGCGTTCACCTCTGATGAAAAGGAGTGGTAAAATGACCAGCAGGTGGTCGTATATATTGATAGGCTATCAACTTTAGCCAATATATAAAATATTGGCCAAAGTTGATAGCCTATCAATTTATGTTGTTAATATAAGTTTTCGACTGTTTTTATGGAGGTAAATGTCGCCATCTGTTGGTGAATTTAATTCGTAACAGTCAGCTTTTGAGGAGACAGAGAAATACTGATTGAAATGAGTGTGTAACTGATGCATTTGTTGACTTTGTTTGATCCTGAATTAGCATGTTACTGTCATCTGTACATAATAATAACAATAATAATAATAATACAACAATAATGATGTTAATAATAATAATAATAATAATAATAATAATACAATAATGATGACAATAATAATAATAATAATGTAATAATAGATAGCAATAGTAGTATTTTTTTGTTAATATTAGTAGAAGTAGTAGTAGTAGTAGTACTACCAGACCAGTACTAATAGTAGTGGTAGTAGTAGTGCATTTGTTATTGCTAATAGAGGTTTTCAAGTTAAATGGCATGTTGTTGTACGGTCATTTTGTACCTATGATACATTTGGAATGGGGAGAGGTGTGTGTGTGTGGGTGGGGCCTCCAAATAAAATTTTGCTTAGGGCCCCAATTTGGTCAGGGGCAGCCTTGAACCACGAACCCTCGTGCTGTGAGGCAACAGTGCTAACCACTCCACCATCACCACCATTATTATTATTGTTATTATCATTATTATTATTGTTATTATTATTATTATTATTGTTAACATGATGTTTATCCGAGTTCATAAAGAACCTGTTGCAGAAACTTGAGTGAAACTTGCAGCCTGTGAGAGTTTAAACATGTTGATGTGTCATAGACCGTCTTTTTCTTCAGTTTCTTCTTCAATTTCCCTTTCATGACATCAACACTGAGGTGATTCAGTTTTCCATTTGAAGCAGCAGCACCTCCTTCAGGAGAAACTGATTCATTACAGATAAACTGTGACCCAACACACTTAAAGTTTTTGTTTCATTTTACTTTATTTTATTTTATTTCATTAAATTTTGTTACATTTTATTTAAATTCATTCTAGTTTTTTTTTGTTTGTTTGTTTGGGTTTTTTTTTAAATTTTCTCTGCAGTGATGGCCCTGGTCGCCGATGGGCGGTGCTATAGGCTGTCCTACTGAAAGTACATCGGCCTCCATTTCCGGTTCCGGTTAGTTCACCGTGTTTTGTTGTGTACCTCTGTCTCTGTACCTTCTCACTGTCTCTAATGTACAGAGCACCAGTAAATCCTCAGCGGAGTCCCGGAGCTCCGCGGCCGGCTGGAAGGTTTCCTTCCCCGGCCTCCTGCTGGAGTTTTCACGGAGCTCGCTCCCCATACGGAGGCTCCGGTCACCGCGGAGGATCTCCCCGCGGCTGCCCCGCCTTCTCCCCGGGCTCTCCGGTCTACTCCCCGGGATCTAACCGGGGATACAGGGATGGTTCTCCGGCCGGGTTCGGCAGCGGGTCTCGAGGATTCGGACAGTCCCGGCACAGAGGGAGCGGTTTCCGGAGACCTCCTTCCTTCAGTCCCGGCTCAGCTCACAGCTCCCAGGTAAACTCACCTGCTGCACAGGCGCGGTCACGTGTTTGACTTAAAGATCAGAACACACTGACCCTCCGCGTGCGTGTGAACCGTAGCACGTTATTTTGGTTATAGTAAACTTACTGTGTGTGTGTGTGTGTGTGTGTGTGTGGTGGTTGTTGTAAACAAAAGAAATCAACAAAGAAAAACATCAACATCAAAACAAAAAGCCTTGTTTATAATCTTAGACTGAAACAAACAGGAAACAAACTGTGATTATTTTTATTGAAGCAGTTTACAAACAGATTATGAACAACTAATCCTGAGGGGTGTTCCAGAAAACTCTGAGTGTGTTAACTCTGAGATGAAGGACACTCTGAGTGTGTTAACTCTGAGATGAGGGAAACTCTGAGTGTGTTAACTCTGAGATGAGGGAAACTCTGAGTGTGTTAACTCTGAGATGAGGGAAACTCTGAGTGTGTTAACTCTGAGATGAGGGAAACTCTGAGTGTGTTAACTCTGAGATGAGGGAAACTCTGAGTGTGTTAACTCTGAGATGAGGGAAACTCTGAGTGTGTTAACTCTGAGATGAGGGAAACTCTGAGTGTGTTAACTCTGAGATGAGGGAAACTCTGAGTGTGTTAACTCTGAGATGAGGGAAACTCTGAGTGTGTTAACTCTGAGATGAGGGAAACTCTGAGTGTGTTAACTCTGAGATGAGGGAAACTCTGAGTGTGTTAACTCTGAGATGAGGGAAACTCTGAGTGTGTTAACTCTGAGATGAGGGAAACTCTGAGTGTGTTAACTCTGAGATGAGGGAAACTCTGAGTGTGTTAACTCTGAGATGAGGGAAACTCTGAGTGTGTTAACTCTGAGATGAGGGAAACTCTGAGTGTGTTAACTCTGAGATGAGGGAAACTCTGAGTGTGTTAACTCTGAGATGAGGGAAACTCTGAGTGTGTTAACTCTGAGATGAGGGAAACTCTGAGTGTGTTAACTCTGAGATGAGGGAAACTCTGAGTGTGTTAACTCTGAGATGAGGGAAACTCTGAGTGTGTTAACTCTGAGATGAGGGAAACTCTGAGTGTGTTAACTCTGAGATGAGGGAAACTCTGAGTGTGTTAACTCTGAGATGAGGGAAACTCTGAGTGTGTTAACTCTGAGATGAGGGAAACTCTGAGTGTGTTAACTCTGAGATGAGGGAAACTCTGAGTGTGTTAACTCTGAGATGAGGGAAACTCTGAGTGTGTTAACTCTGAGATGAGGGAAACTCTGAGTGTGTTAACTCTGAGATGAGGGAAACTCTGAGTGTGTTAACTCTGAGATGAGGGAAACTCTGAGTGTGTTAACTCTGAGATGAGGGAAACTCTGAGTGTGTTAACTCTGAGATGAGGGAAACTCTGAGTGTGTTAACTCTGAGATGAGGGAAACTCTGAGTGTGTTAACTCTGAGATGAGGGAAACTCTGAGTGTGTTAACTCTGAGATGAGGGAAACTCTGAGTGTGTTAACTCTGAGATGAGGGAAACTCTGAGTGTGTTAACTCTGAGATGAGGGAAACTCTGAGTGTGTTAACTCTGAGATGAGGGAAACTCTGAGTGTGTTAACTCTGAGATGAGGGAAACTCTGAGTGTGTTAACTCTGAGATGAGGGAAACTCTGAGTGTGTTAACTCTGAGATGAGGGAAACTCTGAGTGTGTTAACTCTGAGATGAGGGAAACTCTGAGTGTGTTAACTCTGAGATGAGGGAAACTCTGAGTGTGTTAACTCTGAGATGAGGGAAACTCTGAGTGTGTTAACTCTGAGATGAGGGAAACTCTGAGTGTGTTAACTCTGAGATGAGGGAAACTCTGAGTGTGTTAACTCTGAGATGAAGGAAACTCTGAGTGTGTTAACTCTGAGATGAAGGAAACTCTGAGTGTGTTAACTCTGAGATGAAGGAAACTCTGAGTGTGTTAACTCTGAGATGAAGGAAACTCTGAGTGTGTTAACTCTGAGATGAAGGAAACTCTGAGTGTGTTAACTCTGAGATGAAGGAAACTCTGAGTGTGTTAACTCTGAGATGAAGGAAACTCTGAGTGTGTTAACTCTGAGATGAAGGAAACTCTGAGTGTGTTAACTCTGAGATGAAGGAAACTCTGAGTGTGTTAACTCTGAGATGAAGGAAACTCTGAGTGTGTTAACTCTGAGATGAAGGAAACTCTGAGTGTGTTAACTCTGAGATGAAGGAAACTCTGAGTGTGTTAACTCTGAGATGAAGGAAACTCTGAGTGTGTTAACTCTGAGATGAAGGAAACTCTGAGTGTGTTAACTCTGAGATGAAGGAAACTCTGAGTGTGTTAACTCTGAGATGAAGGAAACTCTGAGTGTGTTAACCCTGAGATGAGGGACACTCTGGGTTTTCAGCTCCAGACAGAGAGGTAAGTCAAACTCTGAGTCAATCACCATGGCAACTGACTCTGTGAACCTAACCTGCTCGCTGGCAGGTTTTCTATGAGAAACCCTGAGTTCACCCTGTCTCCTCCCTACTGCCGAGCCTGAAGCAAACTGGCAGACACACATGGGTTGTTCGTATGTAGGAAGAATTAATTCACAATGCTTTACGCTGGGAGAGGATCTTCAGACCCGTTTAGATGTGCTGTCTTTCCCCAATGAATATCTGTTTGAACCGTACAGTTTTTCATTAGACTCAATCATTTACCGGCCACAGATATCAAATCTGACACACCACAGACGTGCGCTCTCATCAGAGCAAATGTTTTTTTGTGAACGGTAGCTTTTTATATGATATTGGTGATGTTTTGTGTCCTCTGCCTTCTTTCTGTTGGCTGAGTAGAAGTCAAATGTTACTCAGCAGGATATTAGGCAAGAGGACACACAAGCTGAAACAGTATTTTTGGGGGGTTTAAATTATTAGTGTCCTACAGTACATAATGACATAGCCACTGAATGACAGGTTATTGAAGCTACTTTGTTTAATAAATCAAATATGAGTCAAACTAAAGGAAGGTACAGTCATGGCCAAGTCAAATATGCCTTACTTGTTTGAATGATGTTTTTATATTTCATTTTAAGCTGCTTCCAAGTGTGTTTCCCCTGTGAGATTGAACCTACATGAACATCAGATTTTATTCCAAACCACTTTTTCACCTATAAGCTACAATTTTAATTAAGTGTGGTTAAATGTAAATTAATGAACTAGTGCATTCAAACGTACGCATTGACTCAGGCAGCAGTTTTCTCCCATCAATCAATCAATCAATCAATTTTATTTATAAAGCCCAATATCACAAATCACAATTTGCCTCACAGGGCTTTACAGCATACGACATCCCTCTGTCCTTATGACCCTCACAGCTGATCAGGAAAAACTCCCCAAAAAACCCTTTAACGGGGAAAAAAACGGTAGAAACCTCAGGAAGAGCAACTGAGGACGGATCCCTCTTCCAGGACGGACAGACGTGCAATAGATGTCATACAGAACAGATCAGCATAATAAATTAACAGTAATCCGCATGACACAATGAGACAGAGAGAGAGACAGAGAGAGACAGAGAGAGAGAGAGATGCAGGTAATGACAGTAGGTTACAACAACATTATTGAAAGTAATAATATTATAGTTATAGTTCTGGCTACTGTGGTACAATTTGTTGAAAGTATGTATTAATAACTGGCAGTATACATGTGTGACAATAGTCATATGTGTATAATAACAGTAGAAGTATGACTAATGACTAATGATGGCAGCAGCAGCAGGAGGCATCTGGCAGGACCACGGCAGCAGCACAACCACACACGTCACGCTGTCCAGGCACCGCTGTGATATGAGTTAATCTGAGAGACAGTGGAGCACAAAGGCTCCGGAGAAGAAGCCGAGTTAGTGACATCCAGAATGGCCGAGTTAG